AAGCAGAGAGCAGGCTGTGCCAATTAGCCCCAATTTCTAATTTGCGGAGAGGAGGGGGGTTAATAGCACCAACCCGGCAGCGGCTTCGGGCCTGTGCGGAGTCATCGGTTCCCTCCGAGCGCCGGGGGAGGGGAGGGAAGGGAAGGGAAGGAAAGAAGGGAAGGGAGGGCGGGGAGGAAGGGAAGGGGCGCGGAGAGGAGCGCGGAGCCCAGCCCGGGGGAGCGCGGAGGGGCGCGGAGGAGAGGGGCCTCCCTACCCGCCGCTCATGGAGCCGCCGAGTCCCGCACTTTTGCAGGGAATTACACTTTAAATGTGCCCAGCTCCCGCACATCCACATGGCAAAGCCCGTTTATACCGGGCTGCGAATACACGTGATGCGGGGACTTTGCCAAGAGGAACAATATTATTTTTTCCCCCCCTCTCCTTGTATTATCCAGACCTTTTTTTTTCTTTTTTTTTTTTTTTTGAGGAAGGGAAGGGGCGCGGAGAGGAGCGCGGAGCCCAGCCCGGGGGAGCGCGGAGGGGCGCGGAGGAGAGGGGCCTCCCTACCCGCCGCTCATGGAGCCGCCGAGTCCCGCACTTTTGCAGGGAATTACACTTTAAATGTGCCCAGCTCCCGCACATCCACATGGCAAAGCCCGTTTATACCGGGCTGCGAATACACGTGATGCGGGGACTTTGCCAAGAGGAACAATATTATTTTTTCCCCCCCTCTCCTTGTATTATCCAGACCTTTTTTTTTCTTTTTTTTTTTTTTTTAAATTCTGCTTTGTTTTGGTTTGTTTGCGATCCGCAACCCCCCCGGTGCCTACAGCTAAATTTCCCAGCCGAGGTTTTTTCCATTTCCAGACAGCAAACTTTGCAAAAATCAAGCCCTTTGATTCCCTTTTACGCTCAAGTTTCTGGGGACGATGCCAGAGCCCCCTCTCTCCCCCCCCACCCCCCCACTTCAGCATGTTATACTTTTTATTTTACATTTTGCTATCGCAGGCCCGACACACTCCACAAAATACTACTACTAATAATAAAAAAACCCTAGTTGGACTTAAATTTTCCGGTAGGAAAGCAAGCCCCGAGTTGTCGCGCTGGGCGTGTGTATCCCACACGTGGAATTCCACCGTGGGATACACAATGTATATTTACACACAGCAGCGATTCTGTGTGCACACACACACACATACACACACACACGCGGTGGACTTCCCCCTTTGCATTTACACAAGCCGATAACTTGCACCTCTTATTTTAAATCACACAGTGGGATCGACAATTTAGGAAAAAAAAAAATAAAAAAAGGAAAACAAAAAAAAAAAAACACAGACAAGTTACTCTTAACAGCAAATTGTAACTTTACCTTAAATGGCCACAAATATGTTCACAATATTCCAAGGGGGTACAAAAAAAAAAAAAAAAAGGAACAAAAA